ATTTGTATTTGTCTGATTCCAACCCCGGTATGAGCCAAGAGGAACGAAGGGGAAGCAGTTCCAGTCAGAACGCGACGGTGACACAGCACAGAAAGGGAGAATAAATTCCCGTGAAGGACACAAAACGAGCGGGAAGGGGTCCTAAATGCCCCCATTATTTCAATTCTTAGATTTTCTGCTAGGATTAGAATCCGATTCCTCCATTTTTCCCAAGTTTTGAATGTCATGCTTACTAGTTTGTTGTGCGATAGTTTGTTTCGACCTTTTTGCATCTCTGCTAGAATTTGTTTCTCCACTTCTATCTGCATTTCTTTGCCTGGCGTATTCCATTACCGGTGGCTTTTCCAAAATGTAATAAAACCGTAGTGGAAAAATATGCTTTTCAAAAGTGCCGGATAACATCAAGAGACAACAAGACAAGCTTGGACAATCGAGAATGTTATTGAAACAATCGTCCAGAGAGGCGACACAAGATGTGCCCCTCAAGAAATGCCATATATGAACGCACAGTTGCCAATTTTTCATTCAGACCGTCATACCTTATAATATGCTAAGAATGAATGATGTGACTACGCGGTGAACTACCTGTGCTCAAATCCCGGAACTATAAATTCACGAAAGGTGGAAATGTATCCTGCAGAGAGCGTTATGCAACATTTCATTCAAAGCGAGTGATAAGGGTGGGTTTTCGGGGAAAGAAGCCGCTTGCTGGTGTAGAGGTAACCTGTAGTTCAGTGGATTTTTACAAAACTCTGGACATGCTTAGAAGTAAGCGTGACGCTTGTGCCTGGTTGGCGGTTTCGAACAATGCAAAATGCTAAGGTTTCCTGAAGCTGACACAATCATCAACCGGTACATTTTACTGTGTTGTGTATTTATGATACCGAGACTCTTCAGTCAAGAACCAGAACTTCGGAAGTTGACCCGTTTAATTCACACATTCTGGCGTAGCTGTCAGGGCATGACATGCCACACGTAGTTTTTCAATGCAGTTAGTCTAACATGATGAAACATGATTTAGCGACCGCAAATATTGGCATGGCAAGAGACAAGCCCGCCCGGCAACACTCGGGAGATGGCACCCAAAAAAGTCCGTTACCTAGAAATAATACCTTTAACAGTGGGCTCAAACGCCTTCAGGCTATATCAGCGATTGCAGGCCTACTTTCACGCACTACTTGGACTTTCCCCAACGGCCTAACATGGGCTGGCCTAACGAACATCGCAGGAGGTTACATGGACGATGGTCGCTGTTACCCAACCTTCCCCATCGTTACACACGTACATCTGGATATACCGCATACATTCGCATTATGGCAGTTTATTACAAAACAAAATCACTTTTAAATAGGATAAGTCTGCACAGCATGGGACAGGAACAGTTCCCAGGCATCTGTCAAAGACATGGCATTGAGGCCAAACCAAAGACGATACTGTACTTCGTCTATGTGAGCCCACACAGCTCGACCACATACAGGGCCTCCCTCGTAGAGTTTCCTTTTCAGTCTACTCCAGTATGCCTCAATGGTATTGGTGTGCCGTCCGGTGGTAGGGTCCTTGAAGTTCTCTGAGTGATTAACAGAGAAATGCAGATAACTTTCTGAGGGAAGACGATTATGCGCCTTCCATTCGTCCGTTACCATTATACTGCCTTTGGCCACCCATTTCTTAATAACGGAACCGAGAATGGGCCAACTTCGAGCATTCGTCTGTTCAAATAAGGCTTTTCGTCGGCTAGTATCGTACATCCCGACCAGCGATTATCCATAAAACCCCTTCTACCACCTGTCCCGTAAGACAGGCTGCTTTGTTTAGGCGGATTTTTTTGGGCACCATCTCCCGATTGTTACCGCTCGCCCTTTAGTTAATAATCCAGACTAAATGAGGTTGAATTAACGAGATCACTGAGAGAGACTGCATAATCTTATGACATCAGCAAACCTTCGAGGTCCCGCACTTCGCATTTAATTCGGTTTAATTGACCTATCTGTCTAATAGAAAGAAAACATGAACGAAAACAGAAACTGTTCTCATTAGGACGAGAAAGCGATTGACTGTAATGCGACGTCAGTTTTCAAAAACCTGGATGGGGTGGTGTTAAGGTTAGGACCAGCGGTAGTAATAGAGAATCTCAATCTCAGCAAGAACAAATACACGTGGAATGGGCGCAATAGAAGCAAGAAACATAACATTATCTAGCCGGAGCTTTGACAGGATGTGTAACTACTTTGATTCATTCCAACTTCTAACCTCTATAAGCATCGGGATACTGACTAGAGATTACTGAAAGGCGAAACATTGACAAACTTTTGCAGAATATATCCTTTAATAAAAGAGGTGAGGAGGTGAGCGTCGGTCCCGCAATTCTGGTAGATGACAAAGTTGTGAGATAGTTGAACCACTTTGTATGGTCCATAATAGGAGGGCTGCAGTAACCAACAAAAGGCAGTAAGACTGATTTCTTGGTTAAGAGACAAGGAGCCTTCTCCATGGGTGGAGAAAATTTTTCGGCAGAATGACCTTGCTAGTTACTCTTACGGAACTTCCAGCCATTCAGCATGTATGATTGGCGGCACGATTACCTGTTTAATTTGAGCTTTTAGAGGGTGCTCCTTAACAATTAACATAAGGACAAGGCCGAGGGGGTTTAAGTTTGTTAGACTTCTGGGTCAATTCGTCCGGGGACGTGCACAGGTAGGCTGAAGGACTAGTACTCTGCAGGGTTTTTAACTAGGACGGTGCGCTGTTCAGCCATGATGGTCACCTATAGCCGTCCACCGGACATAGGGTTATATGAGTGTGTCGATCTTCGAACAGACGGCAAAATGCCTTGTTTAATTTCCGAGGAAATTAATGCGCGAACTTGGAGTAAGTCTTTTGGAACAGACCTTTTCAGGCACAGTCCGAAATTTGGTATGAGTATTTGAGCTGAAATCCATCAGTTACCGCGGAATAACCGCTGATGAGCCGAACCCCTCGCAGCTGTGTAAGACAGCGCCACAAGATCGGCGGAACACGCGTGTCTCGGCCTTTGGTTAATACTGTGTTGTCAGTACGGCAAATAATTACACAATTCCATACTACTGCCTGTCTGTTGGTGGTTTGTGAGTACTACACGGTTATTCCGCAGTAACTGATGGATTTCAGCTCAAATATTCGTACCAAATTCCAGACTGTGCCTGAAAAGGTCTGTTCCGAAAGATTTACTCAAAGTTCGTGCATTAATTTCCTCGGAAATTAAATCAGGAATGTTGTAAATGGAATCATATACCGGAAAACACACGGGGAAAGCTGAGAGATCCACTGATGAGGCGAACCTCTCGCAACTGCGTCAGGCAGCTGCATAAGATTGGCGAAACACGAGTGTCTGGGCTTCTATCTAATACCTGTGTTGTAAGTGCGGAAAATAATTACACAATTCTAAACGGCAAAATTTTTGATTTGAACCAGTGTCCATGCAGTTTGGGAGGGGGCCGATTAATCGGGGGAATCTTATACCCCCGGTCCACAAGGTATAAGAGCATTCCTTTTCCCCAGAACTGGGTTGCATTCTAATAATTCGTCGCCACGAGAAGATTAAAAGACAGGAGAGGAAAATGTGCGCTTTTTCCGGCATAGGTAAGAAAGTATGATTTAGAGAGAAATACACTTATCTCTTGCAAGAAGCTGGGGTGAGGTGCAAAGTCAATTGGCAACCTTTCTTGATGCTTCTCGCCTTCCAATTCCCCTCCATAACATTTACAAGTATGAAAGTGGGCGCAGGTTTAGTAATTCCATCTCTCTTCTTCCGTAGAACACGAGACCGAACAGGCTCATGCGCTGCTAAAGGCGTAGTGCAGCATGTAGATATACTGGTATGACTAGTGTGTGAATTCCTCATTACGCGTAAAAGGTTGCAAATATGAAAGATTTATTAATGTAAGCGCTCTGAGCTGCCAGGTGCAGGTTTAAACGATTGACAAAAAAGCGCTAAGAAACAAAGGATTTAAATGATTGATTTTTGGTACGCCAGAGTCCACGATTGCGCAGGATGCCTTTAAACTGATCATTGATCATACTGGAAGCCCTCGTATATAAAAACCTAATAAGTATGTTGGAGACCACAACCTTGCAACCTGTATCACAGTGTAACAGGTTTTTCAGCAGGCGATAGACGCCAATACCAAGCTACTGAAGTGGAAGAATGCTTAGAAGAAACTGTTAGGCACCACAAAGTCTGAAAATTTCTGCATCCTAGTTCGAAGTTCGATAGATTTTTGGGTATAAGCATGCGTATTGTTACGTCATCAGGAATACGTATTTTCATGTTCGTTTAGAAATTATAGTTCTGCTTGAATAAACTTTAAATTGCCTTATTAAAAGAAAAGTTAGTGAATGTATTGGAGATCTGTACCTTGTAAACGTCTTGTAAACTGAGAAGGTATTTGTAAGCATCAGCTCATAATAATTAAATCAAGTTTGCAGTTGCTATGATAATCATAGGAGTTCTTGATTCATAAACCGGTTTAATTGTCTCATTAAACGCGATCTCAAGCGGAGACCGCCTGATAATTCGGATGGTCTTAGTAAAACCGGAACGGTAAAATGTTATAAAACGCTAAAGGGGTTGGCGATAAGAAATACCTATTAGCACAGAATTTCCGAAAATAAGGTCTCAATAAGCGTTAATAATTTACCGTTAGACCCTCCGCTAAAACATTTTAATGTCCTATTTCCGCTTTGCAGTTTTTGACTACTTATTTCTATCGTTACGCCCATCTCGAAAAAGCTAAAACGTGAAGTCCTGGCTACCGCCCTGGAAAGCATTCTTCGCAGATGGCATTTTTGGCCACCCATCTCGCAAAGGTCAGTTTTTTAGGAACCTTTTAGTCGTTGTGTTGGTATATAAGTGCAGCTTCATGACCCAAACTGACGATAGCGTACACGAAATGATGCTGATAGTCCTTCTTTTATTACTGCATTGTACCTGGGGAAAAAATGTAAAACTGGAAATCTTTCGCATGCGAGATGAGACTCTTTGCCTGCCGGAGTTAGAAATCTTCGATATTCCCGGGAGCCTTGAGAGGGGCATAGCCTACGCAACCTCAAGGAGCAAGGGCATTGTCCTGCTCGAGCACATCCAGGATAATGCACAGAACGTATCCGGTTGCAACATTAGGGAGGAGAAGCGGGGAAGCAGTCTGCTGTATGCTCTCGACGTTGCCTTGAATAGGGCCATTAGCACAGACTGTTTCTCGGTGGTCATCGGTCCCCCTCTCTCCAGTGACTGCAATTTCGTCTCCGATTGGCTGTCCCAAGAGCAGATAACGGACCACGCTCTGCGCAATCTTTATCAGATTGAGTACGCATGTAGGTTGGAGACGCTGACGCGAAACTATGCAATTGTCAATCGAACTGGTGCGCATACGCAGTCCCAGAGCAACCTTGCCGCCATGTCGATGACGGTGCAGACTTCGACGCTGATTAGTGCGATCAGCCTCTTTCTTCGTTTTCATGGATGGAAGAACATTGCTATCGTATTCGAGGTCACTGACGAGAGTATGCAAAATTCAGGTGTGGCCGAGACTATACAACTATTCTTCTCTAAGACCGAGTCCGGCACGGCGCCCCTAAACGTCTTCATCATGGAGAAACTACAATGGCACATTGATCCCCGCATGTTACTGAAGAACTTTACGCTGAAAACTGACGGTTCGTCTTTTATACTCCATGTCCTAGCATGAATCCACAATTTTCGAAGACCATTTTTTTGGGGAAATCAGACTAGGCGAGGTTTGGTTCTGCAGTCCCACTTGATTGATACCGTATTGTTGACTTAATAAAACAATTTTAGTTAACATATCCAACTTAGCCACTCACTGGATTGGGAAGGGAAATGGAGCGCAAGCAGAGCTGGAAACATGAGCATGGTAGGGAGTGGAGGTGGTGTATACACACTCCCCACCGACACAGCCACTCGCTGGATTAAGAGGATAAGGAGGACGTAATCACAATGAGGAGGGCACTGTGAGAACCACGCGGTAATTTGTGGTGCATGGCCACTGAAGTAGAACCGACAGACTTTCACATCGTCGGAACAATTCCATTAGCAAGTCTTCCTGGCCACTTGCCGCATTAGGATAATAAAGTGAACGGAAACAGGGCTAGAAGTACGCGCAGAGAAGCGCGTGTGAACTGATATCAGACGTAACCAGGGCTGGCGTATAAGCCCTCCTCCCGCCCGCGGCACAGTCACTCGCTGAATTAAAATTGTAATGAAGATGCAAATACGTGGTATTTGTAAAGTTAGCGTATTCGCATATACCAAGGCTTTTTTTAGAAAGCTAATCACATTGTATCACTCAAGTGGGCTGAAGGACCAAAGTTCGCCCTTAACTACTAAAGTTGTAACTGTATCGAAAAACAAGTTCAGAAGAAACTCGCAAAAGCAGCTTGCTTTGTCTAAGCAGCCATTTCCGGCAAAGTAATGTTATAATTTGTAGAAGAGTTGAGGCATCCACCCTCGTTTTCAGTTAAGTTCAGTTTATTGATGAAAATAGGCGTGAGCGTTTGAGTACCCTCTTCGCAAAGTAAAATTGTGTGCAGTATACAGAGAAGTCGTTTATTTTTACCAAATAGTTCCCTTCTTGAAGTGTTTTATTTGTATGATTATCAGGACAACCAATGTCAGCTCGA